CTGGTGTCATTGATTAATGTTCGGCCGGGCTTGTTGTGGTTTCTCTGAGTTCCTAGGTTAAAAAACCGAACACCTTATTCATACATTTTTAAATATAATTTTACCCTGTGTGAATTGCCTGTCACTTTGCTGCTGATGCACCTAATTTTCTCCACTGAGACACAATAAAGACGATTTCTATTCTTATTCATTTATACTTTTATTAATATGCCATTTGTCTGTCTTTGTTAAAGTTTGAGTTTATTTCAAGCCATATATAAATAAAGTAAAAGAAAGAATAAAAAGAAGAAAAAACACATATACCCGTTAACAGGAGAAAAAGGAAGAAACAAAAAATGTATGTACTGTATTCATCCACACATACATAAATATGTACAGTAGGCCCTACATATTCAGTGAGGATAGGACACGGGATCCAATTCATGTTTTATAAATACTTATAGTCTTTGTTAAATAACATAAGACAAAGTATTTCAGCATGAAAGCTCAGAATTTTCATTTGTGACAGTGTTCTGTATCATAACTACATCTCTGCCGTTTGTAACAAACCAAACTGTGTGAAAATCGGGTAAAAAATCAGGGAGCTATTATTTTAGATGGGGACCCATCCAAGATGGCGGCTGCAGTGAAACGTTACGGTCTCTAAGTTTTTGCTATGATGTCTATGTAGTAATATTTCCACCAAATGCTACGTAAATCTGTGATGTTTTGACTAGTCAGAATTATTATTTAAGATATCTTGAATGTCATTTTGACTAGTCAAAATGTTAATTCAAGATATCTTGAATAGAAAAGCCCTCTAGATGAAAACATTTTCAAGATATCTTAAATTCATTTAGAGATATCTTAAAATGAATTTTGACTAGTCATAATTACAGATCTAGATATCTCCAATTTAGTTTTGACTAGTCTGTCATTGAATTTGAACTAGTCACATTTTTATTTGTGATTTCTAAAAGCACAGATAAGACAAGACAAGACAAGACAATACAAGACAAGACAAGATAAGATAATCTTTATTGTCATTGCACAGTCATACTTTGTGTAATAGTGTAACGAAATTGTAGTGTTGTCCCAATGCGGTGCCCATACTAAAATACAAAGAAAAGAAGATAATATAAATATAATAAAAGTTATTGTGATAATCTTAAGGTAATCTTAAATCTTAAGGTAAGGCTTATCTTATGGTAAGGTGATTATCTTAAATAATGATGTCATTTAAGATATCTTTAATTGGAATTATGACTAGTCAGAACTAAAAGAGAGATATCTCGAAAGCAACTAGTGACAAGTCAAAACTAACTTAGAGATATCTCGAATTGTATTTTTGACTAGTCAAAATTCCTTTTAAGATATCTTGAAGCCTCAGTAGAACAAAATGGTAAATCTGATGTCATTTATACTAGTCAAAATGTAATTAGAAATATCTCAAATAAGTATTTTGACTATAATATAATTAGAGATATCTTAAATAACAAATATAACTAGTCATAATTCAATTTCAGATATCTGGAATGGAAGTGTTGTGAATTCAATTTTATGCTAAAATTGCTTGCCATAGACTTGAAACAATTCATCACCGGTGTGACGTAACAAGGCCTCTTTTGAAGTAATCACGTGATCATCAGCATGCTGAAGCAGAGCTCCAAAACACCATTCTTGGGACACTTCTCACTTCTGATTCATTTACTGGAAACAGAGTCGAGCAGGAGGTGCTGAGCATAACATCGCTACTGATGAGGTAACTATATGGAAATTTTTATTTTAAATGAAATTATAGTTTTCAAAAAACACAAGTTATAGCAGACTACTGCAGATTGAGCTGAATGTCTGATAGATGAAAGTCAGCACTGAGTTTAGCCGGCTCAGCCTTCATGTCATTAAAACCTTCTCGAGGGAAACCTGAGATATTTTGTTCTTGTGGTATTACATAACATCATAAACTCTTTGAGGCGCTGCAGCTGTACTTCTTCCAAGTACACCTCAAATAAAAGGGAAGGTGTGTTTACTAGAACACAAGTAGATGAACACAAAGCTGTGAAACTCAAGAGGAACGTCTAATAACGGCTCTGGGGTTTTCATGAATACCTTTGTTGCAGTTGTGTAATCAGGAAGCAGGTTCTGATCTGAAAGTTGTCATTTTTTTTTTACAGAAAACACCTAAACGTTCTTTAAAAAAAACATTCTTTGTACAGAAACTAGGCATGTATTAAGTTCGCTTTGAGCTGTAGGACTATTTATTTTTCATTCTCTGAGAGTTGTGAACCATCATATCGAAATGGGGGATAAGTCAAATTTGGTCAAAATGACCTAATACATTTTCAGATTCCTGGCTTTAAAAGTTACATTTTAATACCTGGATCATCCTGAAATCATAAGCAGATCCAAAGATATGACTTAATTTGTCTTTTAGGTTATGATGATATGTTAATATTTGGTCTGAATTCTAATTTTATGTAATTTTAATGAGGATTTTTTGATGGCATTGTAAAGAGGAAATCTCAAATATAATGTGAATATTGAGATTTCCCAGCTGGGAAGAAAAAAAAACTGCTATCTCACAGGAAAAATCTAAAAATTTGTTGCTCAAAAAATAGCTTCAGGTTTTTTTTTTGGATAATATTTCAGACAATTCTTTAAACTGATACACTGAGAAGGCATTTATTCATTATATTTTGACAAAATGTAATTTTTGCAAAGGTTTTAATCAAAACCCCTTATCTGCCTATTTCTCCACATCCCACTTTTAGACTTAATCCTCATTTCAATGATGGGTCACATTTTAGTTGAGCTTAATTTGAAATTTAATAAAAGTTAAAGGAAATCTCAAATGGCATGAAGTCTGGAAGGGTTAAGCAGAAGTTTCAGAAGAGTGAAAGAAAAGTCTACTGACTTCACATTTCTTGTCAGAATCTCTTTCAGAGATGTACCGACTGACCCTGGTGACACTTGCAGCGTTGCTCTGCAAATCTTTGGTAAATGGAGGGAAAGTCTTGGTGTTCCCTGTAGATGGAAGCCACTGGGTCAACATGAACATTATGATTGAAGAGCTTCACGCCAGAGGCCATGAAGTGACCGTGATGCGTCCTTCAGACTCCTGGTACATCAAGGAAGACTCTCCTCACTACAAATCCATCACTATTTCTTCTTCAGCTCTTTCAGATGTGGACTTTCAGGCATTTATCACAAGAACTCTGATTCTGCGACGCCAAGGATTTACGTTTTGGAATCAGATGTCTCTAGAGCAAGATAGGATGAATCATTTCTACCTGTTAAATAAGCGGTTGCTTGACATTGTGGAACAGATTTTTGAGGATGCAAAGCTGATGCAGAGTCTTCGTGATACTAAATTTGATCTGATGCTCACTGATCCTGCATTTGGTGGAGGAGTCTTTCTAGGTCACCGTTTGGGTCTTCCTCTTGTCTTTAATGTCAGGTGGACTATTCAGGGTGAGGCGCATCAAGCAATCGCACCTTCCCCACTTTCCTATGTCCCTATAACATTAGCAGATCTAACTGATAAGATGACATTTACTCAAAGGATCAAGAATTTCATGTTCTACATCATGACTCGTTTACACAATTGGTATGCTGTAGATC